CTGTTCCACATGACCAGTTACTACTGTTCTTAAACTGTTCCACATGACAAGTTACCACTGTTCTTAAACTGTTCCACATGACCAGTTACTACTGTTCTTAAACTGTTCCACATGACAAGTTACCACTGTTCTTAAACTGTTCCACATGACCAGTTACCACCGTTCTTAATCTGTTCCACATGACCAGTTACCACTGTTCTTAAACTGTTCCACATGACCAGTTGTCACTGTTCTTAATCTGTTCCACATGACCAGTTACCACCGTTCTTAATCTGTTCCACATGACCAGTTACCACCGTTCTTAATCTGTTCCACATAACCAGTTACCACTGTTCTTAAACTGTTCCACATGACCAGTTACTACTGTTCTTAAACTGTTCCACATGACTAGTTACCACCGTTCTTAATCTGTTCCACATAACCAGTTACCACTGTTCTTAAACTGTTCCACATGACCAGTTACTACTGTTCTTAAACTGTTCCACATGACCAGTTACGACCGTTCTTAATCTGTTCCACATGACCAGTTACCACTGTTCTTAATCTGTTCCACATGAGCAAAATATGTGGGGCAGGCCCATTTTTTTCTGGGGGTGTGCTGTACCAATAGGTGTGGCAACATACAAAATGTATCACAGGTTTCTTACATTCATTCTTACAAGACATTATGTACACTATCTTTCAACATGAATATTTAAATCTTCTACTACCAAACAGATATAGCCACCATAATATACATATAGTCACCATGATACAGATATAGCCACCATGATACAGATATAGTCTCCATGATACATATAGTCACCATGATACACATATAGTCACCATGATACACATATAGCCATCATGATACAGATATAGCCACCATGATACAGATATAGCCACCATAATACACATATAGCCACCACAATACACATATAGCCACCACGATACACATATAGCCACCACGATACAGATATAGCCACCATAATACAGATAGCCACCATAATACACAGATAGTCACCATAATACACATATAGTCACCATAATGCACATATAGCCACCATGATACAGATATAGCCACCATGATACAGATATAGCCACCATGAGACAGATATAGTCACCATGAGACAGATATAGTCACCATGATACAGATACAGTCACCATGATACAGATACAGTCACCATGATACAGATACAGTCACCATGATACAGATATAGTCACCATGATACACATATAGCCACCATGATACACATATAGCCACTATGATACAGATATAGTCACCATGATACAGATATAGCCACCATAATACAGATACAGTCACCATGATACAGATACAGTCACCATGATACAGATACAGTCACCATGATACAGATATAGCCACCATGATACAGATATAGCCACCATGATACAGATATAGCCACCATGATACAGATATAGCCACCATGATACAGATATAGCCACCACAATACAGATATAGCCACCATGATACAGATATAGCCACCATGATACAGATATAGCCACCATGATACACATATAGCCACCATGATACACATATAGCCACCATGATACAGATATAGTCACCATGATACACATATAGTCACCACGATACAGATATAGTCACCATAATTACACTAGGTTTCCTTTATTGTCTCAAATAACTTATCTATGTATGTTTGTATGGAAAAATATGATTTAATGATTAATTATTAGAAAGCCTTGAACCAAAATACACACATTTAAGTAAAAACTGTGACTACCGGAAAACTTTGGGTTGCGTAAATAATGCACTCATTTTTAATTTACATTTTTCATTATCCAAGTTAAAGTTTTGTTTGTTTGTTTGTTTATGAATTTTGCGCAAAGCTACACGAGGGCTATCTGCGCTAGCCGTCCCTAATTTAGCAGTGTAAGACTAGAGGGAAGGCAGCTAGTCATCACCACCCACCGCCAACTCTTGGGCTACTCTTTTACCAACGAATAGTGGGATTGACCGTCACATTATAACGCCTCACAGCTGAAAGGGCAAGCATGTTTGGTGTGACGGGGATTCGAACCCGCGACCCTCAGATTGCGAGTCGAGCGCCTTATCCACCTGGCCATGCCGGGCCTCCAAGTTAAAGTTCACAATAAAGACAAGACAAAATCTATAATGGAAAAAAGTTACGTCTCAAAAACAAATTTAATTTTAACAGTTATGGGAAATACAATCAAAAACCCATTAAGAGTTTGCATTATTAGTAACCAAGAACAGAACTGTATCGTTATCGCAGTAACTCTAAAAGGATGAGTAAAACAGTCGAGTATTCTGTGTGTGTGTGTGTGTGTACGACATTCAACAAATGTTCAGAGTAATGAGTTATAATTAAATTCCTCTTTTAAATTTATTTCATAGCTTCTAGTGTACAAATACCATATATACAATTGTACATATAAAATTTTTCCAATCATTTTGTCTTTTTTGTCAAATTTTTACTAAAAGTGCTTTTCGTTGAAAGTTGTTTGTCTTTATCAGATATTTTCACAGACTGATGAAGAGCTTCCCATAACTTCTTTGATGTGTTTGAATTCTCAAGTATTTGATTTAGTTCTTCCTTTGACTTGGTAAGCAAGTCAGCCAGACTAGTCACGTTCTTCATCATGGGTCGGACGTTCCTGAAACTGATTCCAGGTAGATGGGACAGAAAATCCTGAAAGTAACATCAACGTCACGCAAATCTATGAATGCAACAGATCAGCATTGAAACTAAACAGCATTTATAGCAGTAATCACCCATCAAAATCTGTTAAAAATGCAACCAGAGTAACATTTTCACATTTTTCTTAGAATAAATAATCTGGTTACGATGATAAAACAAGTTTAATCAACTAAGTTCGCAACTTTAATCATTTCTCTCACTTGGTTTACCAGCCTCCATACAGAAGTTTATATGAGAAGTGGCAACGTAAAGCTAGCAAATATTTATCAATTTACATAAATCTAGCAAACACTTATTAATTAATTTATTTATTTAATAGCTTTTGCAGTAACACTAATAAGTCCATTTTGTGAAAGATATCAAACTTAATGGGTTTAAATCTCAATGACCAAATCTATTTGAAGCTGATAAATTAATGCACTTAAGCCTATTTTTTGGTTTAGACAAAAGGGCATCTATTAAATACAGCTAAGCCGGAGCTTTAAGAAATAACTGACTCCCCTTACACCTAACTTACCTAGCAAGATTTTGTAATAATTTTAAATTTTTATTATCTCTGTTACATATATATTTTTTTTCTTGTCTGGTAGTCTCTAAACAAATACTTTCTTAAAACAAATATTTTCTTAAAGAATGCAGTTAATATGTCTGTTTTTGTAAAGTTGATTTATTTTTATAAAAAAGCAAAATCTGGACATTTCAATCAAAGTTGACTTGAAATGAAATCACTTTCAACTTCACCCTATGAAGAAACTAATGAAAGTATTGAATAGTATAGGTTTCATCACACACAATATAAAGAACTTATACCATACGACGAAGCACACATTTTACCTGCGGAGCAGCTGCATATATGTCGGATAATTCTTCTCCTGTTTCTTGAGAGCTTATTTTAATGGCGTGAGCAGCATCAGGTTGATCTTTTCCCAACTGCTCATGTAACAAACAGTAATACAAAGAATTGTTAATAACGTATGGAAACTGTGTGAAAATGGTTTTGTTGTTTGATGTACAAGGTTGTTGAATTTAGTTGTTATTTAAAACCTATGGGCAGTTTATGTTGGTTGATGTCTAAGGTTGTTTAATTTAGTTGTTATTTAAAACCTATGGGCAGTTTTTGTTGGTTGATGTCTAAGGTTGTTGAATTTAGTTGTTATTTAAAACCTATGGGCAGTTTATGTTGGTTGATGTCTAAGGTTGTTTAATTTAGTTGTTATTTAAAACCTATGGGCAGTTTATGTTGTTTGATGTACAAGGTTGTTGAATTTAGTTGTTATTTAAAACCTATGGGCAGTTTATGTTGGTTGATGTACAAGGTTGTTGAATTTAGTTGTTATTTAAAACCTATGGGCAGTTTATGTTGGTTGATGTACAAGGTTGTTGAATTTAGTTGTTATTTAAAACCTATGGGCAGTTTATGTT